TGTGTGCCATGTGCTCCATCTCCAGGTGACCAAAGCACAGCCCCTCAGCCCTTGAGCACACCTGCCACAGCCTCACAACCCCCAGCAGATGCTGCTCTGCTCAAGGTGTGCCAGGGTAGGTTTGGACTGGATATTAGGGAAAGCTCTTCACTTGTTGTCAAGCATTGGCACAGGCTGCCCAGGGAAGTGGTGGATTCACCATCCCTGGGGATGCTCAGAAGGTGTGTGGATGTGGCACTTGGGGACGTGGTTTAGCGTAACAGTGCTGGGGGAACGGTTGGACTCGATGGCCTTAGAGGTCTTTTCCAATGCTAAGGATTCCCGACTCCGCGGTTCCCAGAGCCCGGTCTGGGGCGGAGCAGAGGGACGCAGGGGAGGCCAGCGGCCGCTCTCACCTAAAGCTGACCACGGGCCCAACCTCCGAGAAAATGTCCTTCAGCTGCTCCTCGGTGGCCTCGTACGGGATGTTCCCCACTGTGGACACAGACGGAGCCGCCGGTCAGCGCGGCTGGGACCGACCCAACGGTGAGGGGCGGGGGGAACCCCACCTGATACCCCGTCCCTTCCCCGTCCCTGCCCCTGTGCTGTCCCTCAGTCCGGCCCCTCTCACCGAACACGGAGCGCAGGGACCGATCCACGGCGGGGTCCCGCACCGACAGACCCGCCATCGCGCCGCCGGCCACTTCCGGTCCGCGCACACACCGACCCCCCGCTTCCGCCTCCGCCCGCAGAAACATGGCGGCGGCGCTCTCGGAAAGTGCTCCGGCGGGAAACGCCCGGTAGGACCGCGACCCCCGGACCGGGAGCCGGACCCCCGACTGTGGCCTTGGGGAGCCCTCCTGGCACAGCCGGTCAGGAGGTGCCAGCTCCTGGAGCAGCCCCGCGGCCTCGGTGGTGCAGTTCCGGGCACCGGCCCTGAGGCACAGCCCCCCGGGTATCCCACCCTGGCCACCCCATCCCCGAGAGCCCCGATCCCAGGGTACCCTGTCCCGTCAGACCCCCGGGCACCCCACTCCCAGGGTGCCCAATCCTCCTAATCCCCTGGGACACCTCACCCTTAGTGTACGCCCCCTCTGGAGTACTCTACCCCCCAGACACCCCATCCCCTGGGGTGCCCCATTGCCAGGCACGCCATTCCGTCCCATCCGTATTGCCCGAACCCAGAGCATCCCATTCCCTGGGACACCACCCCCAGGACACCCCACCACCCCGGTCACCCTGTCCCCAGTGCCCCCAGACCCTGCCCCGGGCAGCAGCCAGGGCTCCGATGTCCCTGGCACCCAGTGAAGTCTCTCCATCCCGGGGCTTGGCAGGATGGAAGCCGAGGACATCTCCATCCCCATCCCTGCACTAGCCACGGAGCGGCGGCTCGCCCAGCGCCTCAGGTGAGGGGAATGGGAACGAGGGGGGAATGGGAGCGAGGGGATAATGGGAGCCCTGTGCTGCTCCAGCAGGTGATGGTGGGACTGGCTGAGAGGAGGGTCACAGAGCCAGTCCCGCACCAAGAGGGTCTGCAGAGCTGGAAGGGCCTGACCAGGCCTTGGCCTTGCAGGGAGCATTTGGAAGAGAAGCAGCTGCTGGACAGGCGCTACCAGCTGCAGCAGGTGCCAGGGGGCCGCATGGCCTTGCCTGTGCTGGAGGAGAAGCTCTCCCAGCTGTGCCTTCCCCTGGAGATGCCCTGTGAGCTGGTCTGGATCCAGGTCAGGAGAGCCTCCTTGCCCCAAGCCCTGCATGGGGCGATGAGGTCTCAGCCCCACGTGCCACATCCCTGCAGCAGGACCCTGTCCCCTCCAGGGCATCCCGGCGACGGGCACCTGCCCAGAAGCTGCGGGATGAGCTGCGGCAGCTGCTGGGCGGGAGCTGGTCGGAGGAGCTGGAGCAGGATGTGCCCCATGCCTGGCAGCGGCACGGGGACCTGGTGCTACTGAGTGAGGACAGCTTCAGGGCTGCACCGTGGGAGAGCCTGGGTAAGGAGGAGCAGGGTCTGCCTGCCCTGATCCTGCCCACAGAACCTCTTCTGGCCTTTCCCAAATCTCCTGGGATGGGTTTGTTCCAGGTCCAGTGCTCTGGGAGACGGTGGCCTCGGCTTTGGGTGCCCGGCGGATAGCCAGGCGAGGACGGGTGTTGCCAGACGGGATGCGGACCCCCAGTGTGACCCTGCTGCTGGGCCAGGACGGCTGGGTGGAGCACGTGGACAATGGGATCAGGTAGGCAGGAGCCACGGTGCAGGATGTGGCCGGCACAGGGAAGGGGCCACCTTCACCATCCCGGCGGGGTCTTCCAGGTACACCTTCGACGTGACCAAGTGCATGTTCTCACCGGGAAACATCACGGAGAAGCTGCGGGTGGCCTCACTGCCCTGCTCTGGGGAGGTCCTGGTGGATCTTTATGCAGGTAATGGGGATGGAGAAGGGCTTTGGCAGGGTGGGCAGGCAGAGAGCAGTGATGCAGATGGCATCCAGATGTCATTTCCAGCCTGGAATGAAAAATACTTAGGCTTAGAGCTCCCACCCTGTTTGTGAGCCCTCAGCTATCCTGGCACTTCTGTCCCTCCTGTGTCCCTGCTGCCTTTGGACACTTAGGATGACCTTGCACTCAGGATCTGCAGAGCACTGCTGCTTGAGGGAATCATTTGGATCCAGGGGAAAGATTTGCTGCTGTTTTGTGCTTAGGGAAGTTAGTGCTTCCAATTTGTGCCACACTGAAGGGATGTGGCACCCACAAAACTGCTCTGGAGTAATTAAATGTTAGTCTGGGCACTCCTGCACAGAGTGGAAGCAGGGCAGGTTTTGAGCTGATGGCCAGAGACTGAAGGTAAAATAAGCTCCTCTAAACATTTTTCAAGACAGATTTTGCTTTTGCAGAGGAGGGAGGGGTGAACTTCCATTTACTGAGTGTTTGGGCTCGTTCCAACCCAGAGCAAAGCAGTTTTGGAGAGCTGGGATGACAGTGTGTACCCCACCCTGCCTCCAGGGAGGAGCATGGGTCTCCAGCAGGTCCTTGCCCTCAGCCACTGCCACCTCCTGCCCGCAGGCATTGGCTATTTCACGCTACCATTCCTGGTTCATGCGGGAGCCGCCTTTGTCCATGCCTGTGAGTGGAATGTCCACGCTGTGGAGGCTCTGCGCCGGGCCCTGGCACTGAACGGGGTGCAGGATCGGTGCCACATCCACCACGGGGACAGCCGGCAGGTGAGCACCGCTGCCCAGCTGCGGGTCCCCATCCGCACCGGGCATCCCCTCACCTCCCCTCTCCTCCCAGCTGGAGCTGCGGGACACGGCCGACCGGGTGAACCTGGGGCTGATCCCCAGCTCGGAGGAAGGCTGGCCAGTGGCCTGCCGTGTCCTCAAGAGGGACACGGGTGGGGTTCTCCACATCCACCACAACGTGGAGACTCCCCCTGCACCGACCCCGATCCTGCCAGCTGAGTGGGGGTCTCCAGAGGCACAGCGCCCAATGGAGGACACTGGGAACAAGACAGTGGGGGCCAGGATCAGACCCGAGTGGCAGAGGTGGGCTGAAACCACAGCAACGCGGATCCAGGGGCTGCTGGTGGAGCTGCATGGGCGGCTGTGGCACACCAGAGTCCTGCACATCGAGGCAGTGAAGTCCTATGCACCCCACGTCCATCACCTTGTGTTGGACCTCGAGTGCCGGCCAGCACTGCCCATGTAGCTGGGAATGGGCCCTGTTGTGGCTCCAGCTCCCATGGAATAGTGCTATCACAGCACCAGGAGCAGTGTCCTGCTGCCAGCCTGGATATGCCTTATGTCCTGTGCCTAGCAGTGCCTCCCTGTGCCCAGAGCACCCAGGGATGTGCTCCCTTGGGAGATCCCTCCAGGATCCAGGTCGAGGATGCAGTGAGATGGGGCTGAGAGCTCCCTGTGTCCTGCCCCGACTCTGCCAGTCGCTGCCTGGATTTTGGACATGTGGTGGCACTTTCAGCCCTGTTTCCACACAGGAGAGAACCACAGGGCTGAAAAACCTCGGGTTCCTGCTGGGTTCATTTCAACAGGTTGGGGACGGGCTTTGTGGTCGTATTTACCAATGTGCTTTTTTATTGTACTGGAAACAGGGCTGTTTATCTTGGCTTCTTCTTACATTTTTTTCAGAAATAAAGATGTTTCTCATATCTCTTGTTAGTGTCCAGTTAAAATGTGAACACTGGTGCAAGCATGGGGGCCTGGGAAGGCCGGGTCCCAGAGAGGTGTGGGGAGGGGCTCAGAGAGCAAAACCTCTGCTGGCATCCTATGCCTGCAAGCCCAAAGCCCTCTAAGTATTGTGTGTGTACCCCTGATGGAGAGAAGCTCTGCCGCATGAGGGAGCTCCCACTGGCCCTTTGGCGTCCCCATGTTTTTTCTCGTGTCGGTGTCTCATCTTCTCTAGGGCTGGGAGCCTCTGGCTCTCCAATCCCGTGACAGGGAGCCCCGGGGTGCGGCCGAAAGTGTGGGAAGAGCTGCGTCCTCGCGTTTGCTCAGGGCTGCTCCCAGCTGGCGCTTCCCCCGCAGGATCTGCGTGGCAAGAAGCCACCTCTCCACTGGTGAGAGCCCCACGCCTTGTCCTGTGGCGTGTGCTCGCGGTTCCCGTGTTGCCTGTGCCGCCGTGGGCTGTGACAAGGGCCCTGCCGTGGCCGTATCTCTGCCACGAAGGACAAGGGCAGAGGCTGGAGCCTTGCGGCGGGAGGACACCACGACCGCGCGGCTGGGATTTCAGTCCTTCTCCTTGGAGACCCCGGGAGGGCGCCCCGCAGTTCTGGTGGCGGTGGGCTCTGTGCTCTTCGGGAGCAGCTGCGTTCCCAGCCAGGGCCGTCAGCCCTGCCCAGTCGTGCGGGAGGAAAACGTCCCGCGGTGCAGGGGCCGCAGCTCAAGCGGGACAAGGGCTGGAGGGCGCGGGCACCGCCTCCCGCACGGGCCGCCCCGTCCGTGCCGCAGGTGCGGCGGGCGCGGCTCCTTTAAGGCTCCGGCGCCGCACCACCCCCCCCGGCCCCACCTCCCCGCTCCGGGAGGCGCCGGCCGGAGCCGCCGCAGGTACCGGGAGGGTCGTGGGGACCGGGGGTCCCTCCACTGGCGGGGGTCGGAGGGTACAAGGGGTTCGTTCCTCCGCGACGGGGGGCACCGGGGATCCCTCGGCTGGGGGGATGCCGGGGGGTGCCGGGTGTCCCTCTGTGGTTGGGGTGTCGAGCCGCGGTGTCCGGGTCGGGGCCGGTGCTTGCCCGGTGCGGGTGGCCGCGCTGCGAGCGCGGTGCCGGCGGCCCCCTACGACCCCCCGAGAGAGAAGCTGGGGTCCGTCCCATCAGCCCCTGTTCCCCGGGGCGCGGCAGCGGGGACGGGAAGCTCCGTCTTGGCGGTGCCGGCGGTCCCGGGTGGGCAGTGGGCTGAGCTACAGCCCCCCGAGCAGGCGCCCCTGCTCCTTCGGGGCTGGAGCGGCCGCAGCCACCCGGGTCCCGGTGCCGGCGCCTCCGGACCGGATCCTGCCCCTGTCGCGGCTCCTGGAGCGTGTCCGCTCCTGGCGGCTCCGCGGGGGTCGGGCAGCTCCAGGCCCCGCTGCGTTCGTGGGAGCGGCAGCCCGGGGCGGCTCCTTCCTGCCGGGGCTGCCCGCGGGTGCTGGGCGTCAGCGCGGTCCCACGGAGCCGGCTGAGGTCACCGGGGCGGCGGGGCTGGCAGGCGGCCCGAGCCCAGCCCAGAGCAGGGCGGCGGAGGCGGCGGGCGGACCGCTGTCCCGGGTGCCGCGATCCGGTCCAGCCCGGGGAGCGCGCACGGAGCACCTCGCGGGGCGGGAGCCGCCGGGCTCAGCGGCTGGCATGTCCCTAGCACGGACACATCTGGCCAGGGCCGGCGATCCCGGGTGCAGCGATGTCGGAAGCCGTGGATCTGTCCTTCCTGTCGGACGTGGAGAAAGAATTGATCCTGCAGGTCCTGCAGCGCGACGAGGAGCTCCGTAAAGCAGAAGAGAGGAGGATCAGGTGTGGACGTGGCTGGGGCTAGGCAAGAGCTGGTTCCCTGCTTTGCTCTGGAAGTGGGTGGAGGAGTGAGAGTGCTGGTGATGGGGGTTCCCCGGGGCGGCTCTGACAGCTCCCGGTGTCGGGTCTAAGCAGGCGCCTGAAGAATGAGCTACTGGAGATCCGGCGCAAGGGAGCCAAGCGGGGCAGCCAGCGGTACAGCGAGCGGACCTGCGCCCGCTGCCAGCAGAGCCTGAGCCGTGTCAGCCCCAAGGCCAACACGTGCCGGGGCTGCAACCACTTGGTGTGTCGGGACTGCCGTTCCTACAGCCCCAACAGCTCCTGGCGCTGCAAAGTCTGCACCAAGGAGGCGTGAGTACCTGGGGACAAGTGACAGAGACCTTCTGCATGTGCTTCCTGTTCCCTTCCTCTTCCCAGGCTCCTCAGCTTGATGCCCCATGTCTGGCTTTTCCTAGCCTAGCTGGTCCTCTTCACTGGAGGACAGCTGGCTCTGCTGTTGCTCCTGGAGTGGGTTTCCATGGTTGGGTGATGGAGAATTGAGTCGTACCCCAACCTTGTGTCTCCTCCATGCCCTCCTCACTCCTCCTCCCTCCTTTACTTGACTCCAGCACAGTTCCCCTTGCACAGCCTGTGTTTCAAGTATCCCAGGTTTCCTCCTTTTTGGCCTCCCTTGTCCTATAAAACCTGTCTTGCTCCCATGTTTACTGGGGACGTAGCTGAGCCCGTCAACTGCCCAGTGAATTGTCTCTGCCCAGTCGCCTGCCAATCATGCCCACTGTGTCTGTGTTCTCCTTGGGTGGTGGGAGCACCAAGGGTGGGTTGGGGTGCAAGGATCAGCCCCCCACTGCCCTTTCCTGCCCCCCACCACCTCCCTGCCCTGCAGTGAGCTGAAGAAAACAACGGGTGACTGGTTCTTCGACCAGAGGGTCAACCGCTTCGCCAACCACCTGGGCAGCGACATGGTGCGGCTGTCCCTGCGGCACAGGCCGGCAGGTAGGGGTGCCACAGCAATGCCTCCTCCCACAGCTCAGCCATCTGGGATGCTTCCCCTTTCCCCAGTGCACCTTGCACAGTGTGGAGCTGGATGGAAGCAGCTCCTGCTTTGGGCAATGGGCTTGGAGCAGAGGTCCTCCTGATGCTCTCTCATTCCAGCCAGCAAAAGAGAGACTGTGGGACAAACCCTCCTCCAGAAAGCTCAGCTTGGTGAGCCCAAAAGCTCCTCTGTAGCCCGGCAGCCGAGCCCCTCTGCACCCCGGGAGGGGTCCAGGTAAGAATCCCTGCTGTCCCACTTGCTCCAGGCACCAGCCCTCATCTGCTGTGGGGATGAGAGCGATGCTGCTGCCCTGCTTGGATTATTGGTGGCACAGAAGCTCTCTCAGACTAACTTCCTTGCCAAACAGGACATACCTGTGGTTTTGTTTGTCTGCAGTTTGTTTCCAGATGCCTCAGACCCTCGGGATGGCAAAAGTGACACAGAGTCCATGGAAAACATGAGCCTGGATGGCTACAGATCTAGTCCTGGTGATGGGGGGGGCAGGTGAGGGGCTTCCCAGGTGGGTTGTCCTTGGCAAGACTGGCTGGCAAAGAATGAGGACTTTCATCTGAAGTGTGTTTTCTTGGTCTAGTGAGGGGGAGCTAGCTCTTTTGACTAGGCTGAAACTTGTCCCTGGGCAGGCATGTCCTCTGCTCCCAGGCTGGCGTGTTATAGGGAGCTTATGTGCCTCCAGGGAGCCTGTGTGGAGATGGTACTTTCCAGCCAGTACTTGCTCTCCCAGCTGGGCTTGTGGCCTGGGACAGACCTTTCTGTGTCCTCTGCAGGAGTAACTCTCTGGAGAGAGCCATCCCTGGAAAACAGGTTGCTGCACCAGCAGGACCTGCTGCCTCCAGCCTGACCCTCCCTCTCCGCTCCAAAAACGCTTACTCTGACGGACGGGTGCGTGACGCTGCTCCAGCAGGCTCAGCCCTGTCCTGGGGCGTGGGGCCAGGAGTCTTGTGGGGTGCCCAGCCCCGCCCTGCTCTGACAGGACCTCTCCTCCCCAGGATGCCACTGCGGGAACCCGCAGCAGCGCCTTGGTGGACGAACATGAAACGATATTCAAGAAGAACCCCCGGCGGGTGGTGAGGCCTGCAGGTGAGAGCTGCAGGGGTGCAGGGTGTTGGGGTGCCAACATGGCCAGGGGTGGGCAGCTGCTTCTCCCTGGGCTGAGGTGAGCTTTTGGTGTGGATGGGAGAGGCTGGGGCAGTCTTTTGTCTGAGGGAGCAGCAGGGCTCTGCTAGTCCTGCTCCTTGCTGCTGCCTCCTGCTCACCACCTCTCGTGCAGACTACACCAAGTCAGTGATCGACCTGCGCCCCGAGGACTTCATGGGGGATGGTGGATCTTTGGGGGACAGGAGCAAGTCGGTCCCTGGCCTCAACATGGAGCTGGTGAGACCCTTGGAATGCCATGGTGGAGGAGCTGGGTATCTGGCCTGCTGTGCCCTGCTGCTCCCCACACAGTTGACTTGTCTCCCTCCTTACAGGAGGAGGAAGAGGAGGACATCGATAACCTGGTGGAGATCCATCGTCAGCGGGTGGCCCGGGGCAGCATGCGCAGTGGCACCTCCTCAGTGAGTCCCCATGGTGTGGCCATGCTGTGCCCTGCTGCAGGGAGGAATGATGGACAAAGGCAATGCCAATGGGTTAGGTGGGGAAAAGGCAGGGTGGTGCAGAGGCAAGAGCCTGAGGCATGGGGACTTCCTCCCCTTGAAGGGGATCGAAATGCAGAGACCCAGCTCTCTTCTGGGGAGCCTCCATGCGTGTGGGAGGCACTCAGTGGCCATCCCCAGCCACAGAGGGTGAGAGGGGCTGTATGGAGGAGGCACGTGAAGGAGTCTTGCTGAGGATGAAGAGGGACCATCAAGTGATGGTGTGCCAGCTGAGCCCTGCCATGTCTTCCAGAGCACGCTGGGGAGCATGGTCAGCATTTACAGCGAGGCCGGCGACTTCGGCAGCGTGGCGGTCACTGGAGGCATCTCCTTCTCCCTGAGCTATGAGCAGAAGACGCAGACCTTGTTCATCCATGTGAAGGAGTGTCGCCAGCTGGCCTACGGGGACGAGGGCAGGAAGCGCTCCAACCCGTGAGAGCCCGGGGGGTGATGGCTGGTGGCACCACTGGTGGTGCCCACCTGGGTTGTGGGGTGTCCGCCAGAGATGGGAGCTGTAAGTGGGGGGGTCTTGGCAAGGCAGGGAGTCTGGGGTTGCCCTTGGGAGCTCAGAGGGGGTTAATTGTGGGGGGACCTCGGTGAATTGCTGCTTGCTCCTCCCTGTAGGTATGTGAAGACCTACCTCCTGCCTGACAAATCCCGGCAGGGGAAACGCAAGACAACGATCAAACGCAACACCATCAACCCTCTGTACAATGAGCTGCTGAAGGTGAGCAGGGATGGATTGGAGTGCAGGTAGTCAATCCTGGGGATGCTGCTGGAACAAGCCAATGGCAGGTTGGGCTCTTAACCCTGAGGCAGGGTATCTACAGAGAACTTGTTCCAGAGACTGCATCCTGAAAGCTGGAAAAACCCAATCCCAGACTGGGTCGCTGCTCTGGTCTGGCCGTGGTGTCAAGTCCCAGTGCCGTGGTGGGGTGGAGGCACAGCTGCAGATGTAAACATGTCACAGGGCATGTCCCTGGTTCCTCTGGCATTCCTCAGGGGCATCCTGCTTACCCTGAATATTTCCTTCTGTGGCAAAGGCTTCCAGGCCCCTGGAAACAGGTTACATTGGTGGGAGAGCAGCACAGCTGCAGAGGCAGAAGTAAGGCAGTTCTGGGCCCCAGGGCAGAACAACTTTGCACTGTCCTTCACCAGCCCTGCTGCAGCCACTTTGGGGTGGTGTGACTGGCTGACTCTGTCCCTGAGCCTGGCAGTGCATTGCTGAGGCCAGGCACTCTCAGACAGGAGGAAGTGAGAGCTGTGCTTTGGTTTTTAGGCTCTCACAGCCAGGTTTACTAAGGTCTTGTGCTGTGACCCCCTGAGGCCCTGTGGGCTGGCAGAGCTCTGTGTGTTGTGGGATGAGTGGACAGGTGCCTGGCTCTGAGGTCTGTCTGGAGAGCATGGGCTCCTGCATCACTGCCCCAGGACTCTGAGGTTTCAGCAGGCATGGAAAGAAGAACAGACTCCTGTGTGCATCCATTGCTCCTCAAACTTGTTTTCTTTCCTGATTGAGAGCTGTGGCTGATGGTGTTTGCCAAGCCTGTCCCTGCCTGCTGCTGCCTGCTCACTGGGGGTTTTCCTGTCTCTCTCCCTAGTACGAGGTTAGCAAGTCCCTCCTGCTCACGAGGACACTGCAGTTCTCGGTCTGGCACCACGATCGCTTTGGCCGCAACACATTCCTGGGGGAGGTGGAAGTCCCACTGGATGCTTGGAACTTTGACAGCCACCTGGAGGAGTTCCTGCCCCTGCATGGCAAGGTGTGCCCCTGCTGCCCACAGCTTCCCTTGCCTGGCCCTGGTGAGGGGTACAGCCCTCTGTGGGCAGAGGGGTGTGGAGACAGCTGGGAGCTGCCAAAAGGCTTGTGCCAAATCAAATCTTTGGAGAAATGAACAACCCAGAAGCAGACAGCAGTGCTATCATAAAAAAGGGCAGATCTTTTGCCTCAAGCCTAGCTTCCCACCTGTTCCTCAGGTGACTGAGCCAAAATAAGATCCCAGAGGAGCTGGGGTGATCTGGTGATGCTGGGGAGGGTTTGCAGGCACTTGTGCCAGCTCAGCCATATCTAGGAGAAGCCAAGCCCTTTGTCCCAGCCTGGGGAGGTGCTCCACACAGGCCAGGCTGTCACTGTGTCTGCCGTGGCCTCTCTGCAGTGTTTGGTAAGTCTCATGTCCTTTGCAGACTGGGGCAGATGCTGCTGGTCTCCTCCAGTACAAGGGAGAGTTGGTTGTCTCCATGAAGTACATCCCATCTGTCAAGCACCCCGGGGCTGGGAATGGCAGGAAAGGTGAGTGCTGGAGCTGCAGGATGTCTGTGCAGCCTTGCAGGATCTGCTCGTGGCCACGTGATCTGGCTCTGGGTAGCGTTACTGCAGCCTTCTGCAGCACCTGCAAGGCTGCTCTGGGTCAGGGCAGACCTGGCTGTCCTCAGGCTGACTGAGCCATCCCAGTGCTTCCTTGGGGCTGGACCAGGCTGGACCTGCATGAAGCAATTGTCCACCTTCGCCTCAGCAGGCAGGGCCAGTACTTGAGAAGGCAAGAGGAAATGGCATCCCGGGCTCTGTACATGCCCCTGGGATGAAGGGTGTTCAGCAGGACCTTTCCCTAAGTTTGTGGTGGTGGAAATTGAAGTTGATTAATTGATGTGTTGGGTTTTTCCTAGGCAAAACGGGGGAAGGTGGTGAGCTCCAGGTCTGGATCAAAGAAGCCAAGAACCTCACAGCTGCCAAATCTGGGGGGACCTCAGACAGCTTTGTCAAAGGGTGAGTGAGAGTCCTGGGGGGGGGCAGTGAAGGCACTGTCCTCCCTGGCTATATTTCCAGTGCTGCCGTGGGGACCTGGAGGAGGGCAGGGTCTCTCCGTTAGCTACCCTGCACTGCCTGTGTTGGTACCTTGAGAGTCACTGTCTAACCAGAGACAAGATGCTCCTGGTAGCAGGTGCTCTCCTGGATTTTGGCTGATTGAGAGGTTGTGGTGGAAGGCTCTGTGCAGGACAGGGCTCCAGTTGCCCTTCCCAAAGGTCACCATGCTATGGGGCAGCATGACTAGGGCCGAGGAGGCTCCAGTCCTTGCCCTCCCCAGACCACTTGCAGTCTGAGTGACTTTTCAGGAGGCAGGGAAGAGACCACCCCTTGCAGAGTGTCATAGTCCTTCCTGAGCCATGTCAGGGAAGGTGGAAAGAGCGGCTCCAGGCCAGGTCCTGGGGTGCTGAGGTGCCCCAGCCCTCGGAGCAGAAGGCCCATGTGCTGCTAACCCAAGGGATTGCTTCCCCCAGCTACCTCCTGCCGCACAAAAACAAAGCCTCCAAGAGGAAGACGCCTGTGGTGAAGAAGACCCTGAACCCTCATTACAACCACACCTTTGTCTACAATGGTATCAACCCCGAGGACCTGCAGCACATCTGCCTGGAGCTGACAGTCTGGGACCGGGAGCCACTGTCCAGCAATGACTTCCTCGGGGGTGTCCGTCTGGGGGTGGGCAATGGTGAGGAGCCCTGTGGTCCCATCAGACCCTGGGGACAAGCAGCCTTTCTTGGGGCTGCTGCACTGTGAGCAGGAGCCTGCTCTGGCAGTGACTTCTGCCCACTTCCATCCTTTCTCCCAGGCATGAGCAATGGGCAGGCTGTGGACTGGATGGACTCCATGGGTGAGGAGCTGAACCTGTGGCAGAAGATGTGCCAGTATCCGGGCTCCTGGGCAGAGGGGACACTCCAGCTCCGCTCCACCATGGCCAAGCTGAGGCCATAGGCTGCAGCACCGGCACCTGGACTCGGCTGAGGGCTGGCACCACTGCTCCGGAGCCACTCTTACTGCAGGGCTTGGCAGGGCTGCCAAATGTGGTTGTGTTATTATTTTTTCTTCTTTAATAAACATGACCTTCTCTAAACAGGCTTGGGCAGAAAGTCTTCTTGGCCTAGCTTCATTTAAAGGGTTTTCCTTTTGTCATAAGCCTTGCACCACATTTCAGGCTGAACTGAAGTCCTGGTGGACCCTCCCTTTTTCCCCTTGAGGCAAAATGCTTTGAAATGTCATTGGGTTTGTATTTCTTTCCATTCTTCTTCCTCCCACCCTTTCTGTTTCACAGTCTGCTCCTTCCCTGTCCTCTCCATCCTCCTAGCTGTGCACAGCCCAGCCCCAGCCCTGGCTGCAGGGACCAGGATGGAACCATGTGGGGTCAGCTTGGGGGGGCCAGGGGTCATGGTCCCCAGGAAACATTTGTTTTCGGGGCCTCTCAGCAACACATCTGCCAGCACAGACTTTTAATACAAATTTATTTATTTCAAGTTAATATTCTACTGCCAAAACAGTTCCCAGGAAGGGTACCCTGTGGGTGGTGGGAAGGGGAAGCAAGTGGCAGTGGGGAGGGCGAGCCCTCAGGGTGGGCTGCATTCCTGGCTGGCTGCTACAGGCTCTGCTGAATGTGGGGCCATTTGCTTTTAATAAGGGCTTTCTGAATGGGAGGGTTGTGCACAGGGTGAGGGTGGCCATGGGGAAGCTGAAGCTGCTGTGTTAGAGGCTGTTGCACTGCTGCCCTACCTGCTCTCCTCTGCTCTGGCTCCATGTCTCCCCCCTGCCCTGGGATGTGAGCAGGGCAATCCGGTGTCTCCTGCCACGGTCCTGGCCAAGCTGAGCCATCCAACCCCTCAGCCAGAGAGAGCTCCTGTCTGCTGGGCAGTGGGGACACTGCTGGCACACGGCCCCTGTCCTCATCCCTGTTCACCTCTGTGCCAGAACAGCCAGAGATGGGCTCCCGTTCCCGGGGGTCCTTGGCACCGTTTCTCCTCTATGGTGGGCGACTAGAAAAGCAGAAAGGAAGGTGTCCATCCTCTGAGGGCAGTGGAGGGAGGGTGTCCCCGGCGCTGGCTCACTCGCAGGGGTCCCCGTTCTGTGCCCGCCGAGCTGCCTCCTGCTCGCCCAGCAGGTACGTGTCGATGAAGACGAAGAGCTCGTCGGGGCTCACGGGGGCGATGTAGCGCTCGCGGTCAGTGCCTGCCTTGTCCAACAGCACCGCGTTGAAGTGGGAGCGGGTGAGGTGCAGGAACTGCCTGGGGGCGCAGGAGGGGTCACCGGTCAGGGCTGGGGGGTTGCACTGAGGGTTGAGCCTGCCCACTTCAGGTCCTCCTGAAGTAGGGGCTCCCACCTCTTCCTTAGGGCTGTGAGCACTGTGGGGCTCTGGTGATGCTACATTCAGACTTGCTGGGGGGTCCTTCCATTGCACAAGCCCCTCTGGTGCAGGAGGAAGGGACTATCCACGAATCCAACTGCAACCTCATGCTCTGCCATCCCCAGAGGTGTCCCTATTCCTGGTGCCCTCGCACAGTCACCTGGCTTTGCAGGACAGCCTCCCATCTGCCTTACCTGAGCTCCTGGATGATGCCAAGGGACAGCTGGTGCTCCCGGATTCGTCCCACCTCGTGTGGGGGCTGCCCCACCAGCTCAATGATGGTGACGTGGCGCAGGTCCAGCCCACAGGCGGCTTGCTGTGGAGGAAGGAGGTAGTGAGGGTGTGATGGAGACAGAGGTAAGGAGGGAAGCAGCAGGAGGTTCTCCTCACCTGCAGCATGGAGATCTGCATCTTGTAGTAGCGGTTAGAGGGGTCGGGGGCCGAGATGACGAGGAGGCGGCGTTTCTCGTTAAATTGATCCAGCAGGCTGGCGGCTGAGTTCACAGCTGTGTTGATCTGCATGGCTGGGGCGAGACAATGGTGTGGGGAGGTACCATTGTGCCCCCCAACACCCCTTCACCCTGCTGGGCAGCATCCCCTCAAACTGCCAGGCATTGCCATGGGCAGGTCCTGCCCTTCCCACACCACTTACGTGTGCAGAGGGGCTGGGAGCCCGTCCACTGCTGGGTGGATTGGCAGACCCGTAGAGAGGTGCCCTGCCGCTCGTAGCCCCCATCACACAGGTACTCGCAGGTGGCACCGTAGTTGTTGCCGTCAGAGGTGCAGGAGATGTACCCGTTCTGCGGAGGCTTCAGGACAGGGCAGCGCCTCACTGCGAAGAGGGGAGCTGGATGAGAGCTGGGGGTGATGGAGCACAGCCCTAGCCATGGGGTGTGGAGCCTGAAGCCATGGGAGAGACAGCTGGGAGCCCCAGGGGAGCCCACTTGCCTTGGACACGGACACTGAACTTGCAGCTGGCTTGGTTGTACGCCTGGTCGTGGGCGGTGTAGCGGATCACATGCTCTCCTTCAGGGAATTCAGAGCCTGGCTCTGGGCCCCGCAGCATCACCCTGAACCCAGCAGACGGGTTTCTCCATCAGGGCCCCATAGCCTCCAGCCCTTGCTGGCAGTGCCTGCGGCACCTCCACTCTCACCTCTTGATGACGCCGTCAGCAGAGTCCTTCACGCGAGGAGGGTCCCAGTAGACAGTTGCAGTCAGCTTGCCTGGCTCGGCTATCCGCTCCCGGGAGTCTGGACAGCGGATCTTGGGAGGCTCCAGGTCTGCCCACAGGGAGGAGAGGGTGTTGGGGAACCTGTGGATGCTGGGGCTGGGCTACAAGAGCCGGGCACCAACCCCAGCACTGAACGACCACAGGGATGCTACACATAGCCAGGCACCCTGGAGCCATTGGGAACTGCTGTAAAGCCAGCACTGGGTGCCCCAATCCTGGGCTGGTGCCTGCGCTTCAGGGCTAAGGGCACCGTGGGGAGCAGAGGGACCAGGGGTCCCATGAGGGGGAGGTGCAAGAGCTGGCACCTGGCAATACCCATTTTGGATGTGGGGTGACACCTGCAGACACCCCAGGGATGGAGGGTGAGAGGCCCCTGTGTGCCTCAGAATCGTGGGTTGAAAATTTACCTACACAGATTGGCTCGGTCCCACTCCAGCGCCCGTCCTCCATGCAGATGCGGCTCCGGTCACCCTCCAGCTGGTAGCCAGGCAGGCAGGTGTAGTCACAGCGGGAATCCATCTGCACTCCAGCTGAGCACACGTAGGAGCCCCGCAGCACTGCTGGCAGCACGTGGCACCGGATTTCTGGGATGGAGAGAGCAAAGAGGGGAGGGAAGTGGCAGCCAGCCATGTGAGTGGGCAGAGCACCCAGGACTGGCCTCTGAGGAGCCTGTGGAGGTGCTGGCAAGGCAAGAGCTGGGCACACTCACGTCGGCAGTATGCCATCCCAGACCAGTGGCGGTTGGGCAGGCACTGGACCACGCTGGAACCCACCAGCCGGTACCCGCGGGTGCAGCTCAGCTCGCAGCGTGTCCCCAGGCTGCTGCGGTAGGAGCTGCCCTGGGGTGAGTAGCAGGTGGCATCTCCGCGGTGGATGTTGAGTGTGGCACACCACTGGGGCACTGCAGGAGAGGAGGAAGGTGAGGGAGGCCCCCACTGTGTCTCAGTTTCCCCATGAGGACCCAAAGGATGGGTTTGTGCCATTACCTCGACGGTAATCCAGGGCAGGCTCAGGGGGGGTTTCTTCTGCATAGACCTCATTGGTGTGACTCTCTGTGTAGTAGCCAGACCCTGGAGAGAAAGAAAGAGACAAGGGGGCTATGGGGTGGTTCATGGCTGCAAAACATCCCCAGCAAGCAAGCCCATCTCCAGGCAGACCCTGTCCTGTATCCTTGGGGCTGCTGTCAAGGGTTAAGCCAGGCACACTGCGAGCACAGTCCCCAGTGACATGGTTTGTGCTGGCACCAGCCGCAGACTAAACAGTGGCAGAAGCAACTGTGGTTATGGCAGGAAACGGGTGCTGGCACGGAGTAGGCTGGCACCGACCCCCAGCTTCGTGCTGCTGGGAAGTCCTTCCACACGCTCCCATGGCCCCGTTCCTGCCACGGGGCATGCCAAGGGAAGGAAGAAGGCTGCTCTCTCCTGCCCATCCCCTGGCCAAAGCAAGGGATGAGAAGCACGCTGCTCAGCCCCCTTCAGGGGGCTGGAGGGGATGCAACCCCTTTCCTGTGCTTCAAGGAAGGATGAAGCTACTGGAGAGGCTTGGCCAGAGCTGCTGGCCCCACGCCATCCATGCTGCGCAGAGGGGCCCCCTGGATGGGGTGAAGACAGCCTTGCGCCATCCTTGCGGGCCACCCTCTAGCCCACACTGTGTCTTCATAGGCAAGGGACACGCCAGTGGGGAGAGAGCCGTGCAGGGGGAGAGGGCTGGCTCCTTTACCCGCGGCCCCTCGGCGCCTCGGCCGGCCGCGGCATTCCCGAGCACTGAGCTCACGTTTCCGCCGCGTTTCCTCTGGCCCCCGCCAGCGCTGCCCCCTCCTCGCCGCCAGCCCACCCCACCGCGTTCCCCTTCTGGCATGGTGGGGATGCTCAGCCTGGGAAAGGACCCCAGGAGAAGCGGCAGCCCCGCTGTGGCTGCACCCAATCATCTCATCTTCTCCCTGTCCTGTGTTTTGGGAAGGGGATATCCGCCGGGACCAATCCAAGCAGCAGCCCAGCCATCACGGGGAGGAAACTCCATTACAAATCTTTCAGACGCGACTACAGAGTGACTCCCTACTGCTTCCCACAAGTCGCCCACTCATTGTTCACAAGCCTTTTGTCCTCATGCCCTTTCCACATTGCCGTGATGCCTTGGAGAGCACAGGAGCAGGGGGCGAGCCCAGTGATGGTACCCGCGGGACTGGCTGTGGGGATGTGTTGGTGACCTGGTGAGAAGGGCTGTTTCCCAGGGGCATATGCCAAGCTCTCCCCGGGGCCCTGGGGACGGCGTGCACTGCGTCCCCACAGGCAAACGTGCCATTTAATGGGATGTTCCCTTTTTATGGAGGTGCTGCCTTTTCCTTCTCACCTGGGGTCAGCTCGCAGCCCCGGCTGCACCGGGCAGGAGCATCCCCAGCCAGGCGTGCTGGCAGCACGGCCAGGGGAGGGGATAGAAGCAGGGAAGGGGGAAACCCCCCAAACAAGGCTTGAAATCCTTGATCCAGCTGCCCAGCCGTGGGGCGGTTGGGATTGAGTGCTCCATTCAGGCAAACATCTGCTGGCCGATGGCTCCCGTGGGAGCAGGGAGTAAGGGAGAAGCTGTGCTCCTGCAGGCAGGGGTGTGATGGAGAGGCTTGTTTTCTGCTCCTCTCTGGATGCCTCCCACCACCCACTCAGTTCCTCTCTGTGCCCCTCAGCGCACCCCTGCAAGCACCCAGTACCCCCAGGCACTGATGCTCCCCCGGCATCGCTCGAACTCCCTCCCTCCCCAGCACGAGCCCCCAGCGGGAGAAAGACCCTGCAGGCTGCCATCCCCGGGAGCCCCGCTGTGCCCGCACTCACCTTCGTGCCACGTGGATGACACCAGCCTGGTGAGGACAACCAGGAGGACGGGGGCCGCCTCCTGCGCCATGCTGGGGGGCCGGGGGCCGGGCAGCCCACCTGCCGTGCTGTGTCCAGGGGCAGCCGCGAGCCCTGATGAGGATGGAGAGGGGCTGGAAGCAGGACGACGGCCCCCTGCGTCGCCTGGTCACAGCACAGACGCCTGTCTCTCCTGCCTGGCTGTGCTGCTGGTGCTGAGCAAACTTACTTTCCCCCTTGGCTGCCCGTCCCAAACATTCAAAAGCCGTGAGTCAGGCCCAAAATGATGAGATTGTAAAAAATTACAAGTCCTAGGATCGCCCGTTTTCCGATGCTCCTCCTGCTCCTCCGAGGCTTTAAAAAGTTGTAAGAGGTTTTTCTTTGCAAGCAGAAGAGCCAGGAGCCTGTTTAAACACAGGAGAGAGCCAAGCCGAGCCTCTGTCAGCCCTGCCTGGCTCCGGGAATGAGGGGGACAAGCACAAAACCGCAGGAACCAGGACCCTTTTCCCACCTCTTTCCAGCAGGGAGGGAGAGACTCCGCTGCAGACGGCGGGCTCTGAAATTGCTCATGAGGCAAGCGCTTCCAGCTGGGGTCTGTTTTCCAGCTGAAGTTCAGCCCCTGCGAGGCAGAGGTAACGAAATGCCTTCACTAGGACCCATCACCCCACATCCCACGGGGTTGGGGTCAGGAGGGAGCTGGAGCCACCTGAGATTGGGCTCTGGAACACGGGACTGCATGGGCAAGGAAAAACGAGGGGTGAGCCTGGCTCAGACAGGTAGGAACATTGGCGTGGGGTGGTGAGAGGGGGAGGACGTGCTGCCTCAATGGGCTAATTATGTGGCGGCCAGGCCAGTGAGCGCACTGATTAATAACACTGTCCTGAGCAGGAGAGGGCTGCCGGGAGGGGCTGCTGCTGCCGATTGTGGGGAGCCCACGGCCCCCTGCAGCCCGGCGACATCCCTGGGAAGGGAAGGGGGTGCTCACCCCACGGAGGGCAGGAAGCCCGTCGCTTGTTGGCACGGTGGTACTGCTGTGTGCTGGCCCACGAGGTGGCTCTCCTGCTGGACACCTGGACAGGAGGGGCCCCCCTCTGCGGCTGGGGCTGCATCGGCAGCCGCTGGGACAGGAAAGCAGGAACTGGTTGGCATCGGGCAGAAGGTGGCTCGGGGAAGGTGGAGGGTGTCACGGCGCAGGCAGGAGGTGGCACCGGGGAGGCAAGAAATGGTGGCATGGGTCGGTCAGGGGCTGGCACAGGGTGGCACGGGGCAGATGGGAGGTGGCAGGGGAGGTACGAGGCGGGCAGGCGGCGGCATGGTGCAGGCGGTGGCACCGGACAGAGCGTGGCAGGGAACAGGCAGGGGGTGACACTGGACAGTGGGTGGCACCAAGCAGGGGGTGACACAGGACAGGGCGTTGCACCGGAGGGGTAACACGGGACCGGCAGCGGACAGGAGATGGCAGGAAACAGGCAGGGGGTGACACCGGACAGGGGTTGGCACGGGACAGGGGGGACACGGGCCAGACAGTGGGCGGCACCGGGCAGGGAATGGCAGGAAAGGGGCAGGGAGTGACACGGAGCAGGCATAGGGTGACACCGCTCGGGGTGTGACACCGGGATCCCCAGGGGCAGGAGCTCCACTCTTCCTACGCGCTCGGCCTTTTCCGTGAGCGCTCGGGCCCCTCCGGCGGGTGGGGCGGGACCGGCCCCGCCCAGGGGCGTGTCCGGGGCGTGTCCCCGCGGCCCCGCCCCGGCCCCGGTCCCGGCAGTCGCCCAGTGTCGGCCATGGCGTCCCCGTCGCGGCGGCTGCAGACGAAGCCGGTGATCACCTGCCTCAAGAGCGTCCTGCTCACCTACACCTTCATCTTCTGGGTGAGCGCCCACCCCGCCCCGCCCAACACCCCCCGACAAGTCGCGGCCGCGCCGCTCTGTCGTGACAGTCGGTAGCTACGGCAGCTTTCCCCTCTCCCCAGGTGTCGGGCATTGTGCTGCTGGCCGTGGGCGTCTGGGGCAGGGTGAGCCTGGCCGTCTACTTCTCCCTGCTGGACGAGAAGGCCACCAACGTCCCCTTCGTCCTGGTGGGCGCCGGCACTGTCGTTGTCCTCCTGGGCACCTTTGGCTGCTTTGCCACCTGCCGCGGCAGCACCTGGATGCTCAAGCTGGTGGGTGGCCCCAAACAGAGCAGGATGGGGTCCCATCCTCTCCTAATCCATCCTGACCTCTCCTGATATATCCCAAAACGTCCCATCCTTCCCTACCCCATCCCTATCCCCTCCAATCCCAATTTACCCTGTTCAAACCCCATCCCTACCACATCCAATCCTGTTTCAACTCCCCCTGTTTCAGCCCCGTTCCGTCCCATCTTACCCCGTTCCGTCCCATCCTATGCCATCCCATCCCATCTTACCCCATCCCATCCCGTCCTACCCCATCCAGTCCACCCCCTCCCATCCCACCCTTTCTGCCCGCAGTATGCCATGCTCCTGTCCCTCATCTTCCTCATCGTCCTGGTGGCCGCCGTCGTGGGTTTTGTCTTCAGACACGAGGTGAGTCTGGGTGGCCGCTGCCATCTCGGAGTGAGTTTGATGCTGTTTTAACTCAAGTGCAGTCGCAGGTGTCGCTGGAGGGACAGAGGTGCTGCTGGGAGTGGTGCTTAGCTTAGCAGAAATGGTATTAAAACAGCCCAAAGAGGAGCTTGGTCCCTGTAAGGACCCAGAAGGATGAGCCTAGGTGCAGGGTCAGCCCAGCACAGCACACTGCCCCTCCACCAGAACTGGCAGAGTAGCCCTGGACTGTAATTTCTGGCTCGGATCTACCTTCTGCAATAATTTCAGTAATTAAAGCTCCTTAGAGGGTTCCTGCGCCACAGAGCAGCCTGCTTGGGGGGGAGTTGGCACTGCACAGGTCCTTGTTATTACATGCAGCATCCCTGCTGCCACAGTGCATCCAGCTGCCCTTTAATACAGCCTCTAATTGCCTGGTGGCTGGGAAGTGTCTGCTGGCCACAGCCGGAGTCATTCCTGCCATCACGGAGCGGTGACTAACGTGGGCATGTGGGTCCTGGAGCGTAGGAGAGCACGGCACCACCACTGAGACCTTTCTCCTGCAGATTAAGACAAACTTTGAGAGTAACCTGAACCTGGCCTTGGAGAACTACAACGTGACTGCGGATCGGCACAGCGAGGCTGTCGACACCATCCAGAGGACGGTGAGTACTCCAGGCTGGTGTCTGGCTGGCATCAGCTGGGAATGCTCCCCTCGCCCCAGGGTGTCCCCTGGGACCCCCCACGGCATCAGTGTCACTGTCATATGTCCACCATCTCACAGACGCTGGATGAGATCCTGCAGTTCCTGGAGAAGCAAGTTCCCTAGGAACCCATGGGAGTGGTGGTGGGACTAAGGGATCAGTGCCCTGGTGTGACCATGCTTCCCAAATGTGCTTCCCCCTCCAGCTGCAGTGCTGTGGGGTGCAGAACTACTCAGACTGGGAGAGGACTGAATACTTCAGCCAGAAGGGCATCCCCCAGAGCTGTTGCAAGAGGCCAAACGACTGCTCGGAGGAAGATCTGAAAGACCCAAACAAGGCCAAGCTGAAAGTGTTTGTGGATGTAAGTTAAGCTCAGAAAAATCCCACTGCCAGTCCTAGAGGCAGGGATGGGCAGGTGGAGAAGGGCTAGTCTGTCCCTGGGAGGCTTGAAAGGAGAACTGTTCTGTCAATGCAGCTGGTCTGTGGCCCAGAGACTCCCCTGGAGTGCAGGTAGGGGAAGGGTTTGGAGTCCTCTCTACTATCTCAGGTCCCCCCACTCCTTCCTTGGAGGTCAGGGACCAGCTGGACCCAAGCACTGGCACTTGGGGCTGTGTGTTTTGGAGAACAGGTGAGTAAGGAAGTAGTTTCCCAGTAAAGTTTATTTCGGTAATGGTGACACCTCCCATTGGTGCAAAGTCCTGACCCAGTGGTGAGCACAGGTGACCTCATCCTGCAGGGATGGTTGGATGATGCAAGGCATGTTCCTCTGATGAGTCACCTTGCTCAACTCAGTGCTCCTACTGGGAGCAGCCCAAGGGCTGTGCTCCCCTTGAAGTGTCTGGGATGAGAGTCTGTCTGGGGCAGCACTGATAGGGAAATTGCTTTGCTGAGGTTAGGCAGCATGGGGACAGCCAGAACCCCAGATCTGCCTGCACAGGAGCATCTTCACCTGGAGCTGTGGGTGCTCTGAGGAGGTGCTGCTTTGTGCTCCTGGGAGTGAAAAGCACTGGACCCATATGCTTGCTTTCCCTTCTCTGCAGGGTTGTTTTTTCCTGGTAATGTCAACTATGGAGTCCAAAATGAGCATTGTGGCTGGAATCTCCTTTGGCATCGCATGTTTCCAGGTAAATCTCCCTTTCCTGGCTCAGGAGGAGTGCAGAATGAAGCTAGTGTGTCTCTGGAGGTATTTAATTTCAGTTCAAAGTCTGATGTGTACAAAAGGCACGGCCAGTTTCAGTCAGGGAGGAGCAGCTGTTCCGTAGATTCCCCTTGGGTTTTATCTCACCACTGTGCAGGCTCCAGCCTCTTACACCCAGGGCTGAAGCACCAGTTCTCTTTCCATGAGCCCAGGTTATTTGGGAAGAGCTCCCCTCCGAAACCACTGACTTAAGGAAAACCAACGAGACAAACAAACTCCCTGTGCCTGCTCTTGTCATGGATCAAATTTGTGCCCTTTCTTTTCCTACCCACCAACCTCTCTTGTTATCAGGGAGGTGTTTTGGCATTGCTTCTGTGTGAGAGGGTCCCTGTGAGTACCAATGGGGCACCACTTGTGCTGGTGGCTGACACCCCACGTGCCACTCTACCCAGCCATTGTGTCCCCTCCCTCCTGCTCCGCAGCCTCTCCTTTACTTTATCCTGCAGGACACTTCCTGCGGGAGCTGCAGCAGCAGCAGCCTGCTCGCCAGCCCTGCTCCGGCAGGCTTTATCCCGGCAGGAAACGAGAGGCCCCTGCCCCCAGCTCCGCCAGGCTGGGTGTTGGGCACACTGACACTGCGGTGGGGTTTCCCAACGTGCCGAGGGTTTTCCGATGCACC